GGGGCTGGCTAGGGATTAAGACAGCATCAATAAGGCCGCACACAAATCCACAGTCGTGAAGCCCTATTTCGCCAAAATAGGGTTGTTTTATGGGGCTTGCCTATTTGAGCTGTTCAGCAGAGTTTCCTGACCTAGTGGGGCTGGCTAGGGCTTAAGACAACATCAACAAGGCTGCAAATTAATCCCCAATCGTGAAATCCTATTTCGCCAAAATAGGATTGTTTCTTGGGGCTTGCCTATTTGAGCTGCTCAGCACAGGTTCCTTACCCAGTAGGCCTGGCTAGGGCCTGAGACGTCAAGAAGGCTGCTTGGCTTGGTGGAGTCCTGGTGCTGGACTTACCTCGCATAATTTTGTTTTGAAATTATTCTACCTCGTACCTCGCGAAGTGAGCTCGCAATAATTCGCTCAGACCAATGGCACCACAAAGCCTAATGATGCCTGATATGTTTCCCAGCCCCGAACCATCCCATGAATCTCAATCAGTGACGAAGGCACATCTGCTGCGGATTCTTGGGGTTCTGACTCCCAAGTTTCCCCACACCTCACTCCAATGCAGCTACGCTGGAGTGGCTTGCACTTCACAGACTCTACCTTGATTGAGGTTCACCTACAGTCAACATCATCTCATCAAAAAGACTGCATTGCCGCATTGTGATTACTGTAGCTTGGCGCTCTCAACATCTGCTGCCATCCAAAACAAAACCTTCTCCGAAACACCACGACGACGGGTGGACCGTGGACCACGGTTTCCACGACGACGTGACTACGGCCTTTCCACGGTGGACCGGCGTACGCCCAGGGTGTTCTGCAACTCGCTCATGGCGAGGCGAGGAGGCCAAAGAGTCTCAAGTTGACGTGAAGATAGTATGAACGCCTGAAGCCACTGAAGGCACACTGTGCTGAGCAGGTCCGACAGGTCTCACGACTGTTAAACATACAAAGACCACATGCGATGCGATGGCACCTGCATTTGTAACAAATGGATACCAACGGCCATCACTGGCCGGAAGTCTGTTCCGCCTACAAGCTCTTGCTTAAGCCAAAGGCCCCATCAGGGCAACTGTAACCGACTCACAAAACAGTCCTGATGAATGCAGCACACACGCATCTTAGGTCGTCTTAGGTCACTCAGCTGTCGGAGTGCATCCTCTATATAGTGACCCCCAAAAAGATAGTGGCACGGTTTCCGTTACATTCTTAGTGGGGATCTACTTTTCTATAAAGTTGGGGGCCACTCACTATAGATCTTGGTACCATTCCTTCGCATCACCCGAACGTCCACGGCCTGAGACGCGGAGTTGGCGTCCGGTGGGAGGAGCGCTGAGCCCTGGATGCCGATGTGAGCCGCTTGAGCAAGGCCCAGAGTAGGCCCCGCCCCCTACTGAGTCTCTCAAAGGACCAATGGGCACCCATGGGCAACCCCAGAGGGCCTTACAGGCCGCCATCATGGGAAGAAGCTTTTCTTGGCCTTTTGAAGCCGCAGAACACATCGACCAATCCAAGGACTTGTAAAAATGGGGTCTGATCATCTCTCATCTTCCGAGTTGTTCTGAATCTCGTGAGGCTCAGCTGACAAGCTCGATACTTCGAGGTTGCGTAGCTTGCCTTCCACTCGTCAGAACCCTGCGCTTCGGGGGGGGTAATACAGTAAGCAGCTAAGCAGCTTCCATAAGTGGCTCAGTTTTCGAGCATAACAACCTCTCCCATGACCAAGTATTTGACATTCTCCTCTCCCATATCATTGCCGTGTCAGTGCTTTTCCACCGGCCACTGAGTAGATGGCGCCATACAAATGTCAAGAGCACCCAAGACAGTCCCTCAGGGGCCCCAAGTGACTATGACCCGTGTGGAGGGGCCCAGTGGGAACCTGTATCTGTAGGCATTGAGGGTGTTTACTTGACTCACGATAACCGGATTGAAACCAATAACACTGCTTAATTGGTGCGCTTGTCGCTTGTGTGTTTTGTCCCTGCATCCTCTTCTTGAGGCTGTTGAAATCCACAAGGAGGAACAACTTCAGTGGAGGCAAATCGGCCAAGGAACTGGTTGCTATGAGAAATGCCCACTTCGAAGAGCGCTCTTGGCCGCTCTTGGCCCCAGGCCTTGCCGTCCGCCCAAATCTCCTCGGCACTCCGATGCTTGGGCCCGGAAACCGGCGATCGTGGGCTGGATGGGCACAGGCCTCAACGTGTCTTTCTCCGGTCCATCCGGTTCATTCCGAAACTGCTTCTGTTTGATCGCTCCTTCTCAAGCTTCTCGAAGACCTCCTTGAAGAAGGAGGTCAAAGATTCAGTTGAGACCTCAGCCCAGGCTCAGAGGAGCCCACTCCGGCAGTAAAACCAAGAGATCAGTCGTAAGCTCCTGGTCTTTACACGGTGCTAAAGGAAAATAAATAAACATCCAATACATCCCGAACCCACCACGAGTCGATGACCTGCAGGGCTGTGCGACTCCGAAATGCCGTGTCCGCATCTGCCGTAAAAATTTCGGACTAGTGGTGGTCTTTTAGCCAGGCTTTGTACCAGCCAAGACTTCCAGTCTTTGGAATCTTTGGTGGGTCTTGAGCACTCTAGAAAAAGGAAACAAAGAAAAAAAAGACGCCGCCTTTTGGGTCACCCTCACCGGAGCGTCCGGCTGCAAGGAGGCCGCCTCCGGTCCCACACATCGGCGAACGGAGAAGAGCAACAGTTCGACCATGTAACACTGGAGGATTTGAAACTTCTATGTCAGAGACCGCCACCACCCACCAAGAACAACATTCCCATACAACACTGAGTAAGATGATGTTGGTTCATGTTGCCTCACATGTTCCCAAAAAAGAAAGCAAAAAAACACGCAGCAGTTCCATGCAGTTCAAGTCAGGAGACACCTGCACGGCGCTGCGTGTGGCTGTCACGATCATGGCAGCACCCTTTTCTAAGAAGTAGTCCGTGGAAGCGATGAGCCTGGGACGGCTCACGGCGCCGATTTCAAGCAGCGAAACGGCCGACGACCTCGGGAGACGCCAACCACCTCATTGCAAGCTGGATGGTTTGGGGGGGGGCAAAAAATCGTGTGTGTGGCGTCTTGGAACTACTGGGGATGGGCCAACTGTGTAAGTGGCCTATAAAAACACAACTCCAGGTGGACTTGGCCATGATGAGCAGGAGAGTTGCTCTTCAAAAACGGAGTTTGGACCCATGAGTGCGCTGCGACACCACAGCACGCGCCGGTGCCCCCACGTGCGGTGACAGCAGCTGCTCCGGACAAATATATAGGCCTGGGTCCTAGCCACCCATCGCTACGTAAGCCAACCATGGAAGTGGAACAGTCCGACCACTGATTGAAAGGCTGAGAGAGGGTGTAGAACTCTACGGTCAACCTTCCGAATGTATGCATGTACTGATGCTGGATTCTTTGACTATGCATGATTCCTCTCTCCGCCACGGGTTTCTTGTTTTCCGCCTATGGCAAGGCCAAAATACAGGACCTAAGGCCTTTTGTCAGCAAACAGCTGGGTGGCCAACTCCTGCATAGCTGCCGACTCCGCACCATCCTGCATCTGACACCGTCCTTTATGAACAAACCCCTGGACTCGAGTGCTGCTCGTTTGAGGCAAACAATGAAACAACGTGCGAACAACACTGGAGACTTCCAAAGTCGAAGCTGTCAGAATTCAACCCATATGTTCCTGGCCTGCGCTATCTCTCCGGTCTTACCTGTCAGAAGACTCATCAAGCATCAACTCATTAACTCAATGTGAAGAAAGTTATCATGAAGCTAATTCTGCACGGCGATTCTCGTATGGACACCACATTACGACTCTGAAAAGCTTAGCTACGACACCCCGGCCGGACCACCTGTGATACCGGCCGTCTGCATCACTCGAGCCGTCCGCGCATCCGAGGTCCAGACTTGAGATGGCCTCTCGACCAGCAATGTTGAACTGCACCCGATGGAGCAGCAAAATGACCTGATCAAGGGATCTGGATGGATCTGGGCATCTGAACCAGAGGGAGGGTTGCAATCCATAAGGTCACACCGACCAAGGACCCAAGGTCCCATGGCACACATATCCAATTACGTGTTCAACCCCCAAGATCCTCACATACAAAGAGTAGGCAGCAGAAGCCACCATGGAGAGGCACTCGACCTGCAAATGCAAACCGCCAAAGATGGGGTGAGAACATGTGAGGCGGCATGGCATGAGAACATGTGAGAATGTCTTCAACTGGGGCCAACTGATCAATTGATCAAAGATATCACAGATTGACGTCGGAGAACTTCTTTTTGCGGTCAAGCTGAAAGGCCAACTGCAGCACAGTCGGTCTCTCCATGGTCGGTCCACTTCACTGAACGCCCTCAGCGCCGTCCCCCTTCAACCCCCCACCGATTCCCCTCACACAGGCCGCAAGGCGCTGCAGGCCTGCAACTCCTTTAATGCTGCTAGTTTCTGCTCTCTGTCACTTGCTGCCTTGACCTGCGCACAGGCCGCGACACCTACAGTCTACAGTAAGTCTTACAATTTATATAACATCCCTAGATTGGCTAAACTTACTGGCATCGCGCGCTCAAAAACTTTGAGCAAGGGGCCTTTGACTCAGCTGGAGCATTGCACATTCCAGGTACGAGTGCATTCGACATCCCGCTCTAACTTGTGGCTCACAAGCCAAGCACCTCGATGACCCTCTCACATGCGCCTTGGCCTGGCACTGGTCGATCTTAAAGCAACCTGAACACTGCAACATGCATTTGAGTGTCCCCCCAAGAAAACCTTATCCATTGCCACAGCAAAGGCTAATCTGTGTGCCCGGACCCTGAAGTCTGACCAGGAAGTTCTGCAGACCTTTGCGCCTCAAGAGGAGTGTTCATCAACCCAAAGCTCGTGTATGCTGTATTTTGATGTATTTTGGGAATCTGTCCAATTCTGTCCAGAAACCGCCAACAAAATGAGTCATGTTAAGTATATACACCTTCCACACCGGAAACCGGTGCAGTTTCACTCCCGCTCGCCCCACCCCTGAAACCTCGGCATTCATCGGCCAAGGTGCGCATAGCTGTCTGAAACCTCCTGATGCTTCTGGAAGCTCACTCTTCTCTGCTGCTCTTCCACCTGAAGAAAGCACCGGGGCGATCGTTGCGGCAACGGCCGCCGATTCGCGAGCGACGGGCGGAAAAGTGGCATGAGCACATGTCGATCGAGCATGGCGCCTGGCCATTGGAGGCAGAGGCACCTCGGGCGGGAAGCTGTCGCATCAAGAATCTGATCTCAAAAATGTCGCAAAAGCTTCTTCCAGGTGTCTCACATCTACTTGCCACGTGCACCCGTGAATCAACATGTGTCCTAATTTCGACTCCCCTGACACTATATATATCCGGTGAATAAGTCCCACCGGAATATCCCCGATCCCTTGGGTGCCTTCAGTGAGTTCCTTCAGCAGTGAATCAAAGAGATCTGCCTGGATTTTCGGCAACTTCACCTCAGTCGTCCAAGGGTGAATCCTCATGTTCCTCGTGTCCAACGGGTCTGAGTCGTCTCGGGGGCTGCTTTGAGGGTCTCGGATCTGAGGCTGAAGATTTGTTGAATCTTGGTGCCCTAGAGAATGACATCCTGGTTAAAATGTAGAGAGGGTTATAAACTCGAAAAATGGATCTATATTTATATATACATATGTTATATAATATATGCGTGTTATGTTTTGTTATACAGTGTGTATATTGATGTGTGTGTGATTATGTATGATATGTATGTATATAATAGGGAATCATGTCCCTGAGGGCATGACCTTCACATAGTAGTAAACGCCACCAGCCACGATGCCGGTGAAGATCAGTTTTTTCCTCCGCTGTCACGCAATCGTAACTTTGAGGGGAGATCTCTTCAGCCCCCCTCAAATCAACTATAAATAGATATCAAGATTTAATATGTGTATATTGTGTGTATCTATATCTATATATATATATGCAAGGACTAGAAAAGTATGCGCAATCTTCAAGTGTTCGACATGCAGCCTCTGGGAGAGGAGTTTGTACAATCCACTTTTGAGGGAATCCATTCTCACTGTCACTTTGAGCGGGTTGCAACAGGAAACTAGAAAACCAGGCCTGTGCCTTGACACAAAATTCCAAATGCGCTGAACCACCTTGCGGGTCGTGGCACAAGGACGGCAGTATGGTGCGCACTTGACGCATGCGACGCATGGGCGAAAACCGCATGTTATATGATTGGTCTTCTACTGCCCGGGATGCAATCAAGAATCGAAACGAAAACCACCCAGCACACGCCCCGGAAAAAGTCCCGGGGCCACTTAAGGAAGATTTGGACAAACTGGCCGGCATGACCATGAAGTCAAACAGGGGCCGCGAAACTGCTCCTGAGCTTCAGGAATCTGCCCAGAATATCACGCTGGATGGATTCGATGTTTCCCTTACTGACCCAGCACTCTTCCGGAGGACATGAGCGTTTTGTCACTGTCATAGCCAAATTTAGTTCCAGCATGTTTCAGCTCATTGGTGCGTGGCCTCTCGTCTGCGTTCCGGCTCACCACGAACGCAAACACAGAACAAGCCTCTGCACAAAGCAGGGCCACTAAGGCCCTCTGGCCCTTCCTCGGCCCCGAGTTTTGAGCCAAGCTTTCCACGGGAAGGCATTGCACAAAGAAAGCCCAGGAAATCGGCCCAGCAACAGCAGCAGGGCTCCTATTTGGGTGAGAAGTTGGCAAGTTCTAAGAAGCCAAGACGTGGAGATGGCGATGAACTTCCACCTCATGGGTGATCAACTCGGTGAACTAACTAGTACCCAATACACCCATGACATGAGTGAGACGAAGAGAACGCAAGTCCAACAGCACGGCCGACATGAACACAAGCGCTCCCGACTTCTGTTTCTCGGGCGAGTATCTGCACAGGCCACGTGTACAGCAATTCTGCCACCAGCAGTTCTTTCTCTGTTGCTGCGGCCTTGATTGGCCTTGATCGTTCTTCTCTGCACGTGTACCAAAGATGGCGCGCCGATGTTTGCTTCAGCAACGGTTCTCCATTTCTCTTCGATGTCGCCCCTCATCTCCGCGGCTTGAGGGTCCACCCAGGAAAAGCCTATGAAAAGCTTGGCCACCTAGGCCCTTCCGCCGAACTCATGGGCCGAGGCCCTTCCTTCGCGCTCCACTCGAACCGAGGAGAACAGCTCCGCTCCGGCCGCGCTCAGCCAGGTCGTGCGAAGCGGGCCCGGAGCCGGCGTGCGTGGAGGCGGACGGTGGCGCTGTCAGGGTCCACGGTGCGGGGAAGGGCCAGGAGGAAATGGCCTAAAGGTTTGAGCCATAAATCGACGAGGAAACCACAGGCAGAGATCTCCAAGTCTGAGACTTTCAAGGAGAGTGGGAGATCCACTTGTAATTCGAGATCTGAAGATTGGGAGATCCCACAGGAGATGTGGACCTCACCAGGGCAAAGATGGCTGCAGGCCTTTGGGTCGTTCAAGCCTTTCAGAATAGATTTGGAGGTGCCCAGGAAGACTTCCAGCGCACCAGGTCCACAATGACCGTTCAGAACGTGTTGCGCATAGGCAGCATAATCGCCCAGTGGCAAAGAAGCCTTGGCTGCTTCAACTAGGGCCTCAACCGCCCACTTGGCATGGTAAGCATTGTGCGGCGCCAACTCTTCCATCAACCAGCAACAGCGGCAGTAGCCTTTCGCTGCTTCTGCATGGCGGCCCATATGGGAGAGGATCGTTGCCATTCCCACCTCGTGTCTTTCCAATGCTGCACATGGTGCATCATGGCACATCATGGTATCATGAATTCATGATAGTTCCACTGGCGGCCCTCCCTGCCGACAATCGACTATTTCCCCTCATTTCCATAATTTCCCCTCACATCCCCACCTGCACTGGCATCACCAACCCTCCTAGCAAAAGCCGTTCGAGCCCGCAGCCCAATCGCTGGGCAGCTGTCACACACGTCGCGCTCTCGGCCGTGCAGTCGCTCAGCGAGCGAAGCTGGCGGGACACGAAGCGTTGAGTCTCCTGGCGATCGATCAGCTCTCAGTTCAGCAAAGGACACTTGGGTTATTGAAAAAAGAACGTGTCTTTTGCAATGCCTCGAAATCATGTTATCGGTGTTTCAACTCTTGACTCTTATCGCTTTCTCAGGTGTTGGGCTCTTTGCGCACAAGAAGCGTCAAATTAGCAGGTTTCCATGCATGTGAAAGCATCTTTGGTGGTAAAGACATGGCAGTCGAAAAGATCAGATATAAATATATATAACATCTAAACAAGACTACTGCGCCGCACACTTCTGCCCTTGAAAAGGTCTATATAAGGAAAATAGTCAATTGGGTACTTGCCCACCAGGCGTGTTTTTTGCTACATTTCCTTATCGTTTTCGTTATCGTTGTGTTCTCGTTTCGGACATCTCTGCAGGTTGCCATCTTCGTGGTTCATGTACTGGCAGCATATGGACCAAACAGCCCAGTCAGTGCGGTTACTGAATGGAAAGTGAGATTTGAAAGCTAGGTTCTCACCTCTTCCTTCAGCAGGGGGGTGTAGGAAGAGGATAGTCAACTCTTCCATGTTCATTACCCATCTATTGTTAATGGGACAGGTTGAAACCCATGAGATGCGCAGGTATAATCATTGTTATCGGTTTTGTATTACTCTTATCGTTTTCTGGGGAAGGAATGCATTCGTAGTGTTAAGGTGCATGCCAATACTAAACTGCTGAGCGCGGGGTTATTTCAATCTCTCACCTGGGGTTGAGGAAATTGGATGGATCGGGCCACAGGGCTATCGATGGCTATCGGATAGGGCTCTGCTACGAATCGAAAAGCACCATTTTGGGGGACGAAGGCTACAGCTTCATGAACAGGATACAGTAAGTGTTCAAGCATCTTCATCGGCTCGTGGCGATTCATACACCGCCCAAGACATGAAGAAGGGATGAATGGCGAAGTTTTGACCACCAGGCTGGAAAGCCGTAAGCAGGATCGATACCAGGACATGCCAGGCTAAGCAAGAGTCAAGGAGAACCTGACACCGGTAGCCCTTGCCTCACCTCCAGAATCTCTGAGAAATCTTCCAAGGAGTTCGCATTGTCAATCTTCTCAAGGAGCTCCGTCACTGCAGCCTGTGATGCTTCAAAAACAATTACAGGATTATGGAATAGTGGCTCTTGATTCTGTATCCTAGCTGGTTCTCCAGCTCTGTGAAACCTCCTGACTCCTACAAAGTCCAACTCATGCAACGTCCACGCCTTTGAAAAGAGGTGTTCTTCCACCAAGATCCGATCCTCGCACAGCTCGAAGCCGTACCTCTCGCGGATGGCCCGGCGGCGCTCCAGAGCGGGCTGCAGCACGGAGATGTATCCATCGGTGATCTCATCTCCGGCATTCAGATCACGTGCGGCACGGACAAACATCATGTCACCCAGGAAGACGCGAGCAGCACTCGGGCGACACGAATGATTCACCAAAGACGCCACCAGAAAAATGGCCGAGAGTTGGCCACCCGAAGTATCCAGCTCATGAGCATTGGCAGAGAGGATGGCCTTCACACGTTCTTTCTTCACATCCCGCGCTCTTTGGTCCATGTTCTCTACCTCTTCCCTTGGCACCTGTGGCAGTTTGGGCAGCTCGTGTGGCGTGTGGAGGCCATCCGACAGCAAGAAGAATGCGCCAAAGTCCCACTCTGAGCAGGAACGGAGCTTCTGACATGTGACCTCATCGAAGGAGGAACCAACCAACGAACCGCGTGACCAACAGTACCCCACTCATTCTCCATGAGCCTCCTCCTACAGCCTGTAGGGCCTGTAGCCTATGATATCCTATACCCAAAAACTACCCCTTGTTCCCCACCTCCATCTCCCCAAGACCAAAAGTATACCAAGAGAACACAAGGTTCTTAGTGGAAGAAACCAACCCTCCACACTACCCCGCCCAGCTCCGCGTCCGCCGCCTCTGGCAAGCTCCGCGTCTCGGCCACCGCCAGGGCCCGGTTCGCGAAGAGCAGCTCGCCGCGGCGCACCGCACGTGCGCACACGAGGCCACGGTGCTTCCCCGGCACCCGGGCCACGGTGATGGGACCAAAGAACTCGGGCGAAGAACTACTCGCACCCGGCTTTAAGCTCAGCAACCTTGCACGGCAGGGAGGAACTGTTACAGTATATAGAGGGATAGAGGGATGGATGATGTCCAACTCCCAGGTTCAAAGCCAAGTGGGCCTAAGAACTCGCTTTTGCTTCTCGTACGTCCTGTGATGTACTGTTCTTCTTCTTGTGCCGAGGCACTGTCGAAAGTCATAGCTTGGAGGTTCCGTGCCCATCGGATCTAAGCTCCACTGGCATCAACGGGGCAGCGAGCGATTTGCCTTGAGTCCTCAAAACGGCTGCTGTGGATCCCCATTGAATCATGTTGAACACGCATTCGATGCTTTAGACCCTTAGATGGCGTCCTTTTCACCGCACCCACCTACGATGTCCGTTTCATGTGACCTCCCCATCTACGATTCCCTTGTCTTTGGCCGTCCCTGTCGTCCATGCTCTTTACCGGCACCGGTCGGCCCCCCCGGGCTGGGCTTCCCCGGCTTCGAAGCGTGCAGCAGCCAGGAGCAGAAGTCGCCGGGCGAACGGCCTGACCTCGGGAGCTGGTGGAGCCACGTCCCACCTCTTCCAACGACAAGGGCGGTGCACGAACTGATGGAAAAACGACGAACAAACACCTCCAACAACGATAACAACGGGTCATGACCTGGTTGAAATGCCCTCTGCAACTTGCGGTGGCTGGAGGGATTGGAAAACCACTTGTGCCAATGTGGCTGCCTTGGTCGTTCTGCGGATCCTGCGACACCAAAGCCCACTCGAACCAAGGCGAACTGAGTCCAAGGCAAAGACTTTTGCCCTCAAGACTGCCTCAGAAGCTCCGAGCATGTTTGAAAGCAAGCAAGCTTGTTGACCTGATTATGTCAACATCTCGAGAAGCTCTGGCCTTTGGCTCTCCATTCTCCAACTCGATCTGGATTTCAGGATGTGGCCTCCCCCCCGATGGCCACTGTCTGTCCCGTGCAGAACCGAGGCTGGCCAAAGATACAACATGATAAATATCAACACAATGTCATCTTTCTCGACATGACCAGACAATGGCAAAAACTGGTCGAAACCTGGGCAAGTGTGTTGTCAAAATCTGCGCACTAGGGGCCCCTCGCCCAGGCAAGGCACCCTGCTGGCAGTGACAGTGAACCAGTGTCTCCTTCGGTGCAGCATGAGTCTTGTTATGCATTGTCCCACTGGTGCTTGGTGGGCTGGTCTGTCAAGAAACCAATTGAGTTACTGTACGTCAATTCGAAGATTGTCGACCTTAAATAACAACAAACGTTGGATAAATGTGGTTCCTTATCTTATCTATGTGTCTTTGCCTTGCAGGACGCGAGCTGCGTGCGAAAAGCAGCAACGGGGCCCTTGAAGCCCTTGCTTCGGAAAGGGGGGACCACCGTTTTGGGCATTATGATGGCATATGTGTATACATACAGTATTTGACCTGCTCGGGCTAGTCTTTTGATTGTGTGTGTGCGTTGTTGGTAATCGCAATCCTTTCGGGCATTCAATGACTGATCGCTTGGCTTCTGTAGCGGCTTGTTTCAGAATGCGTTTCTATCATTTGTAGTCTAATAATGTCTAATATTGTCTAATATTAGTCTAATATTTTGTGACATGAAAATAAAACCTCCGTGAGCGACGTGGACCTAAAGCTAAAGAAGCCTCCGGGAAACAAACAATATGCGTTTACCATTACAACAGTCAAAAAAAACATCTTAAAGCCTTAAAAAGCTTCCGTCCAAATTGCACCCTCAAATGGCGACCACCTTATTGATCTAAGTTCTTTGTGTGGCCTACAACAGCGCCTTCCTGGTGTCAATTTACGGTGGCCCATAAAAGGCACCCGTTAACTTGCCACAAGAGTTCCGCTTATATCCGCTTACAAGTTTAACTTCGTGGCAGGCCAGGAAATATGAATATGTTGTGCAGATTTGGTGGCACACCAGGGGGGGGCTACAACAGCAACGCGTCTAGGACACTGGCCATTGCAAGCAGCGTACATTGACAAGGGGGCCCTTGTAGGGGAGCAAAGTACTAAGAGACGCAAATACGGATCATGTTACAAGAAGAGACCAGGACCAAGGAACCGGCGGACCAAAGAACAAATGATCAAAAGGACCAGTGGACCAAAGGGCCAAGGGACCAGGGGCCCAAAGGGACCACTGGACCGAGGGACAGCGGGATATAGCGGAATCCTTTGCTGATATGATTCTTATAGTAATTATGCTTCTTGAGTTTTTCCTGATGTGTAGAACTCGTTCTTCTTGATGCAAATGCGTACGAATCAGTTTAAGGGGGGAATGAGGGAACGAGACCCCCATCCCATTAATTGGGTTTGGACAACCCTTTGCTTACATCCCCCAAGAAGGTTTTTGGCGTAGTGTCTCTTGCACACCGCTACTCGACTCTTGACTAGGTGCCTATAGTTTTGAGAGTTGGCACGCGCCGAACCCCTGGCTTGCCCAAGCTTCTTCAAGAACAAGAGCTCACCACCTGTCCAGTCCACCACCATGGGGGTTGGGAGCTTCGCAACGTCCTGCTGTTAGGGAACACCCACCTCTCCGCCAAACGCCGTGCCGAGCAGCATCCAAATCCAAGACCAAGGTCCGCCGACCTGCATGTTCCTGAGCCATCGGGTGGGTCTGTGCAGATGCAGGTGCCGCTGGCCCGAGGACGGTGCAGGTTTCTGTGGCGGCAGCAGTGTTGGCTGGCGGGCAGCCGTGGCGTCCGGGATGATCTGAGGGCGCCGAAGAAGTGAAACGAGTCCAGAGCCCTCCATGCACAACAGGCTACAGCAATTCTAATTATTCTAATTTCTGTTCGACTTCTGACAGGTCGAGTCCAGAAAAGTGATGCGGTGTTTTCTCGCTTCACCCTTCAGTGCGCCTCCCTCGGGTTCAGCAGCACCAGGAATTCGAGTGCAGCCTTGAGCCGGCCCATTCCGTACGGGCAAATGGCCCAAAGCTCTGGGCTGTGGGTATCACTTTTCGATTGGCCGTGTTCATCCATGCCCCAGTCTTCTTGAAGCCCGGCCCCCACCAAGTAAAGGCCCCGTGCCCTTGCTTGCTGTGGCAGCCGCTGCAGGTCCACATCCTGATTCTCTGGAAGTTAAGGGGGGCGGCCGGGCCACCGGGTGCTGTGCATACGAAACGTGTGTCTCGGCCCCCGGTGATGCAGGCGCAGGCCAGGCGAAAACGCGAAAACCGCGAAAACGCGAAAACGGCGAAAACGGCAAAAAACGCGAACACGGCGAAAACGGCAAAAAACGCGAAAACGGCGAAAACGCGAAAACGAAAGTAAGAGCCTGTTGGAGTGGAGTCAGAAAAGCATGCCCGAGATTGATCTGGGATTGGAGGTTGTTGTCTTGATGTTGATGATTCGGGAATGGTGGTTGTCACAACGACTATTATAAAACTAGTGCTTGGACTTATAGGGTGTATATATATATAATATATATATAAATGATACCCCCCCAAAGATCGACCATTTTTATTTGCTTCACGGTTGTGGATGCTCATCCATCAATTTATTGAAAGGGGAGTACCATGTAAATATATATATATACACATGTCTTATTGTATGCTAACTGTTGAGATGCTCACTGCACATCATTGGTTGCAGGGAAGTACGCGTACTGTACGCGTACAATGGTCCATGTTTACTGTACGCTAACTTTTGTGACGCTCACTGCACATCATTGGTTGCAAGGGAGCGTACTGTACGCATACAATGGTCAAACCAAGAAACCAAGAACCAAGATTGCACAGACCTATGAAAATGAATCTTGGTTCTTGGTTTCTTGGTTGGACTATTGTGCGCACAGTACGCTTACAAATGAATCTTGGCTTGGGGTGTCCTTTTTTGAGACCCAGGTCATCCAACTTGTGTAATGTGCATTGGCTGCATCAAGCCAAGATTCCTGACAAGAGTTGTGCTCAATCTTGTTTCTTTGTTTTGTTGTTTTGAGCCATGTACGCGTACAAAGCGTTTGTACGCGTACTTTCCTGGAACCAACATGCAGTCAGCATCTCAAGGGTCATCACGCAATAAGACATGACACAAATATATCAAAGTATGACACGACTATAGTCCCATCAGGTCATTTTGATAAAAACATTGTAGGACTATAGTCCCATCAGTTTATTTTTTGAGTAAAACACTGATACAACAAAACTGATAGAGATTCACAGGGCTAAAGCCTTTACATGGGCATTTACACAGACTAAATTCATACCGGCTTTTATGAGTTTGATAGTTGGAACATTACAGGGATGACATTGACATTTTAGCAAAATATCTAGTTTTACATTGTATACGGTGGAAGTGAAGGCATCACATGTTGTTCAATAAGAAGTATAACTTAATATATGGTAAGTGTTTAAGAAAACTATTGGAAGCAAACAACGAAAAGAAATTGTTACAAAACTCCTTCATTCATTCATTCGTTCATTCATTCATTCATTAGGTCAATTATGACCAGATTGTTAATGAACTATGGGAAACCGATCTTACTAAAGATGACAAAAAGAAAATAGGAAACATCGCAACACCGCACAGAAGTTACAGTTTCACACTTTGAGGGAGGCTTGCCATTACCAGAGGGAGTTTGGAGGAAGGGTTTGTGCCATACAACAAGAAATAGAAAAAAGAAGAAGAAACAAACACACAGTACCTATTGCATCTTAAACACAACCAATCGAAATGAATTTTTTCAATGGGCCTAGAGATATAAAAGAGCTGCTTCTTCAATATCATAACTTTTCAATGAATGCAGCGTAATCATTTTTTCAGAAAATAATATTAAGGTCTATTCAGTGGAGAGTGATGCCTTCAGGATCCATGCAGACGGTTTGACTAGAGTGATGGGTGAACCAAATCATGTTATAAAATCATATCAGACTGGAATATTGAACTTTGAAGAAGGCATAGGCAAGTGGAGACTGACAAACAAATCAACCAATTTCCAACCAATAAGTACATATTTTGATATAATTACTTAACTGAAATTCCAAAACTAGAAAACGAACCAACAGAGGTGGTGGATGAATGGGACAACCCCGGAATATGTAAGCAAGTTGAAAAACAAAACCCCTGCATGATCAGATCAAAATTTTCTGGATCGAGTTACACAGGTCAGTAGCTTTAAAAGGTGCATAAACAAATTTTGTTTGTAGAGCCTTATAACTGGTTAAGTCAAAAAATATAAGGTGACGCAACAACCCATAACATTTTTAAGAATTCCAGTTCATAAGCAGGATGAACTACCAGAGTTTGATCATAGCAATGTTCATGTCATTTTCTTTATGAAATCTATATGACCAATCGTTTAATTTTTAAACTTTACTGAAAAGCACAAGGACAATAAAATCATCATAGGCGCCGGTGATACAAAACAGTTAGAACCCATCAATGATTTAACTAACACCCAGTCAAAGACCACAATATGGTCAAAATTGTGCTCAGTTTGTTCTCTGAAATCAGTGAAATTGTCCGAAAGGTTCATTTGATATCTGAAAATATCACTCAAACAGGCATGCAACAGGCAAACAAGGTAGATCTTTGGGGGGGGAGCTACATATATATATATATAAGAGACATCCAAGGTTGGACAGCCTCCTGCCACATCCTGTTGTTGGGCCTCTTTTGAGTTGAAAACCTTCGAAAGTGGCGAAGACCACGAAAACGACGACTGCGCGAAAACCACGAAAACGGCGAAAACGACAAAAACGTGCAAACGGCGAAAACTGCGAAAACGCGAAAACGGCGAAAACGACGAAAGTGGCGAAAACGGCGAAAACGACGAAAACGGAAAACGGCGAAAACGACGAAAACGGCGAAAACGATGAAAACGGCGAAAACGACGAAAGCGGCGAAAACGGCGAAAACGGGTAAACGGCGAAACCCGTTTTCTTGCTTTTCTCGCTTTCACGCTCAAAGACAAGACAAGCAAGAAAACGTAAGAAAACTGGAGAAAACTTCCACACGGCAAAACGCGAGAACGGTTTTCTGAGTTTTCTCGGTTTTCTAGTTTTCTCGGTTTTCTCGGTTTTCTGGTTTTCTTGGTTTTCTCGGTTTTGCCGTCGCATCGCGCGGGCCACGACGCAGGTTTTGTGTTCTTAGCGGGTGATTGCTCAAAGGTTTACAGTTGAGCCTGTGCTGTTCTTGCTTTGTTCCTGGCACAAAGAAGTTGTACCGTCACTCTATCTTCCCTCTGCCACACTTCAGAGCGTTCCCGCCGAACACATGGTTTTCTGATTTCAGACCTTAATATGACCTGAACGTCAATAATCATTCGTAATCTATCTATCAATTCAATCTGTTTTTGCGACGTGTCTCGCCCAACACCGCTCGCCCCACTCGCCTTCAAGGACAATCTCGGCATCGCCACCTCACTGTCCGTTCGGCCGTTGGTCGGGCGGTGCTACGTTTGGTTCGCGTCCAATCGCTTCTAGTAGCAAGGCCAGGAGCCCCTAGTAGCGTCCGTGTTACTATGGTAGAAATGCCCTTTGCTCCTAGTAGCGTCCTTGCTC